CATCAGATACATTTGGCTGATGTGGCTAATTTTTCTGGATTCACGGGTGTATGGGGTGCCATGCCAAATACACAGCAGGCTCCTCACCTTTCCATACCCCTCCCTCAGGTCTTAATATGATGCTTTGAAAAAGGTAAAAGGTTAATACAGTAAGTCCCCCACATACGAACTTTCAAGTTGAGAACTTTCAAAGATGCGAACGTGCGTTTCATCAGCGTCAGGCATGAGTGAAACTGCAGCTTGCCTTGCATCTCCTGTTGCTGACGATCCTTCAGCTCTACCATCTCCCACCTCCCCTCCCTTCTCCAGTCCATAACTCTTCTTGCCTGTTCACTCGATGCCAGCCCCTGTATGCCAGCTGTTGTACTGTACTACTGTACTTTTCAAAGTACTGTACTGTATGATTAAAAATGTTTTCTTTGTTGTTTGCGTTTGTTTTTTATGTATTATTTGTGTGAAAGTATTATAAACCTATTACAGTACAGTACTGTGTAGCCGATTGTGTTAGCTGGGTACCTAGGCTAACTTTGTTGGACGTACGAACAAAGTGGACTTACGAACGCACTCTCAGAATGGAACTCGTTCGTATGTAGGGGACTTACTGTAACGTTTTTAAACAACTTCAAATGTAAAGTTAGTAATTTAAATATACAGGAAGACATGGCAGAGAAATACCTTACTGCCTTCCTGCCCCAGGCAACCAAAGGAAGACAACAACAGGTGATTGTATATTTTGTTTAATACTTGCATTGTTTCTATAGCGCAATTATAGCAATCTTTAAATTTACTTTTCATTACAAATATTTGTCAAGTTTTGTTTCAGAAACATTTTTCCTACTCTTGCACATGCACCCAGACACACTACAAAAAACTCATTCATAACACAGTAAGGGCAAACGTTATTCATGTAAACATCTTTCATTAATTTCCCATAATTTAAAAAAATCATAGAATTATAGATATTGAATAAGGCTCATAGATTTAGTTCCGATTCCACAAAAGACCAATCAAAGATGCTCGTTAACTGTGATGAGGTTAACTTTTGGTTGCAATAAATGCCGAAAGCATTCCCCTGGCTTCCAGTCCTTAAACATACCTCACAACCTAATCAATGCATTTCAGGATAAAAAGAGAACACAGAAAACCCAGGAGGAAAAACTTTTGAAGTAGGGAGCTCAGAACCATGAACCCAACTTTCCTCTATGATAAGCAGACATCATGTAGTCCCTGTAGTTTCCCAGTACATGACTTGAGATGAATGACAGTCATCCAAAATGTAACCAAGTTGTATGTTAAGATACATTGGTATGTGTGTACATATTGCTAGTATACACAGTGAAAATTTGTCATCATATTTATCATTTCATTATATCCAGGACTAAAGCGGAAAAAAAAAACCCACTCAAGTTGAATATCATTATAAAGGAGTGTTCTAGTAAGAGTCAGGGGAGTTGGGTGGTATGTCCTATAGGGAGGTGATTGGTCTTGATGTTAAAACGACTTCTAACAACGGTGTGTAAAGTCACAGACAGAGGAGGCAAGGATCTGCGTTATCCGAGGATGTCTCTCTCTGGTTGGAAGTTTGGTACTTGGGTGCATAGTTTCCCAGAGCTGAGACGGGAAGTGTACTGTGCTGAGAAATGGGCCCCTTGCCAGCAGGACCCTCCTCTGTCCTCTGTCGAGGTGGAGGCCCAGAGGCAGGGACTGCTGGCAAAACCGTGAGGTCCCACCCGGGGGTCTGAACCCCAGCTCCACTGAGGGCAGCCTCCCTGATGTGTGTGACTAGGCAGTAAGGAAAGCGGTGGATGGCGGCCAGAAAACCCGGTTCCGAGTTTCCCATGGCCACGTCTGGCTTCTGATTCTGCTGCCCTGCAAAGAAATTGTGCTCCGGATAACTGCACCGGTGTCTCTAATGCCTCTGAGTCACTCATGGGCCCCCAAAGGCCCGGAGTGATGTCACTAAGGGTGGACATACCTCCACGAGCACCTAACTTCCACCAGGAAGCGGCTGAGGCACTGGGGAAGCCTACGAGCTCTCTCCACGTCAGGTGCAACAACACGGGGAAGTTGCCATGAGTCAGAGTTTTTTGTAGGCTTTTTGATTTTGTAAAAATCAAAACTGATCTGCATTATATCTCGATAGACTCAGAGAATTCTCACCAAAAATTTTTGCAATTTGTTTAAATAGCACTGGAATAATTCAACTTCACTTAAATATATTCATTCTACCATGAAAATAGTTCATACAAACATCTATTTACATACAAACACGTTAAAATTTGTGAAAAGGGTTTCCATCCCTGTGGTTGTATGGCTTGAAATAGTTTTCATTGCTTGAGTATGTCTGCACCCATTTGGCAAAATAAAACGATTACAATTTAGTATTTTAAAAATCAAAATGGATACTGAGGCTCCACATTCCTGAAGGGAAAGATCAAAGACAAAAAAAAAACAGTCTATCAAGGTACCTCAAGTAGATGTAAATTCAATATATTTTGTGAACCTTTGATCTGCGGCAAATAAACATTACGACTATCAGTCTTGCAACATGGTTTTGCTTGTTTTTCTAAAATGAAAGATGTCTGGATTCTGAATCACTACTCTTAAGACAGAAACTTGAGGCAACTGTTTTGAAACAAAGCACAACAGAAAACAATACCTTCCTGGAAGATCTTAAATGCATTTTGCAGTGAGTGATTTAAAATTTCATATAGTAAAGGAAATTTACTAAAGTGCCACATACCACTCACTGAGAAGACAACCCTCGAACTCACTGTTCACAGTTACTGCAATTTTACCCTTACAATTAAATGTTGTCTATGGTTACACCTGGCCTTCACTTTGGCCTTTTCAGGTTGTTGGTGATAAGGAAATTGTTTTTCAATGTGAAGAGACCCCAGAAGGCAAATAAGTTTAACGACAGCCCCAGACAGGTTCAAAGGGGTCTTGAACAACAAATTTCCTTCTCAGTTTCTCAGGCAGACCAGGGATGAAGCAGGTTAAAATAAGAATAGGTAATGCAAAACTCAAGTCTTCCTTGCCTGTAGCTTTTAAATCTCATCATTCCTCTGTGTCAGAAATTCAGTCCTTACGGTTGTTTTTTGTGAGTCCTTTCAAATGCCCATTTGGGGACATACTCCTACAGATTAGTTCCTATTCCTAACTCTAACACAAGATAATATTTTGTCATAGAAAAGCTGCTAAGGAAAGATCTAGTCATGCAGGAGTTGGACTGAGATGGCTCTGAGTGAATCTGATGGGGACCATGGCATCAGGCACCCTCCTCCGCACCGGCCCTTTTGCAGGAGAGCAGAAAGTTACTCCTTTATCCCCACCACCTGGACTCTTCCACATTTCTGTTACGATGCTGATGAAACTACCTGCTTCCTGACATATTTCCTTCCACAGCGGACATCAAGATTCAGTAGAAAAATACATCCCAAGGCTTCCCCCTCAGCTTTGGCTCAAACAGGGAACAAACCCTATTCCCTCACCAGTTAATTCCTCATGGGACCCCAACCCCCTTGACTGTTTTATCTACTTACAGAACACAGTGAATCTCAAGGCCCCCTACGACCCAACCCTGTGAAAAAGCCTTACATTTGGTGGGGGGGGGCGGGTGTCAGGGGGACAACAGAAGCAGCAGAACCAGACGTGGACACAGAGTGATGGAGAGAGGTACTCGCAGAGGGACAGACAGACAGAGAGGGTCCAATGGGCCAGAGAGACCTGCAGGAGAGGAGGGAGAGAGGGAGCGGGCCGGAGGGATCAGCTGGCACTGTGTTATGTACAAACACCAGCCATTCTCACAGACAACAGAGAGAGAGAGAGGAAAGGGTAGGGCAGGAGAAAGAAGAGCCAGAGAACAAGGGAGGCAGGAGAGAGGACGTGGAGAGGCTCAGCTTGGATGTGCTGCTTCCTCTGATTTGTCTGAACGTCACAGACAGACACACTGCCGGGCTGCAAACTCAGAGAGTTATTCACTATCTTATTTGAAAAATGGATTCGCTGGCTAATCACTATTTCCAACTCTTCAGCCACTTTTGTCAAAACAAAAGAAAAATTCCATTTGAATGGGGAAGCCCATTGGGACAGAAATTACACCCCATGGCAGCCGGCAGCCTGAAGTCCTTGCTTTGGAGTCCTGCGCCATCCTCCCCCGACCGCACTCCCTGATCTGGCTCCACAACCCAACTCACTGGGGTTGATTAAAGCCATCTTTCTCCTGAAGACAGTCACTTACTTTGGGACGCGTTTGAATGAAAGCACCTATCAGAATATAAGTCCCAAGACTCTGCCCATCTGCCAGTTTATGGAACGGTCTCTTTCTACAGAATAGAAGCGATCCTATCCTGGTGCCTTTTAATCTAAAAACTCTATTCAGTTCACTTCGTGGAAGATCTTCCTGGCAGCCTCAGAACTTCTCACGAGTGAACCAGCAGCTTAGCTCCCTGAAACCATGGCCACCTAGCTGCACTGCTGGGAACAGGGGAGCTCTGGGAAGCCTGGACTTATCAAGGGAAAGGGCCACTTCTGTCACTGTCTTGAAGGCTGAATCCTGTGCCCAGGAGCTGCCAGAACTCAAAGTTGTGAGCAGCCCAGGATGATGCACTTTCGTTAAATTCTTCCCAAGAGCAATGTGTAACTGACATGAAATAGCAAACTTCCTCCTGCCTGTTTCTTTTCTCTTTTCCTGCTCCCAGCAAGCCTTCCCTACTAGCCAGAGCTACAGTGTGGAAGGCTTCAGCTTTCAAGACAAAACTGACTCGGTGACAGGTGCCCCAGCTGACAGTTGCAACTTGTAGCAACTGCGGCTTTCCAGACCTCCCAGCTCCTCAGCTGGGCATCTGAAGAGGACACAGCCATGGCATGTGGTGAGGGCACTTACAAAAACCCCAAACTCCCAGAATTCCCCCAGAGTAATCCCAGTCAGGTTACATACCTAATTAGCTAAACTAAAAAACAGGGGCTTTTCTCCTTATTTCTGCAGTTGTGGTTACACACGGCTAGCAAAAATGGCTGAAATGCTATTGATACCGTTGCTTCTAAACTATACAGGTGTTAGTCTTAATTCACAAGGCTGTGAAGCAGATAAGTGCTTTGAAATTACAATGGTGAAGAGTTTTAGCATTAAGGTTTGATTTGTACCTAGTGATCAGTACGTCTCTCTTAACAGTAGCGATTTAAAAAACAAAAACAAAAAAAACCTTTTGAATTCTGTGTTATAATTCAAGTTTGCTATTCGACTTTTGAATTCAATGCACTGTGCCACAAGCCAGACTGCTCTGTTATGTACATTTAATGTGTACCCAAGGAGAAAAAAAATTACTAGCACTATTGAAGATATTGCAAAATTGCCACGTCTACTGCTTAGAAATACTAATTTCCCTCTCTTCTTTCTTAAAGTATATGTTACAACTCTTCCATAACTTAATGCAAACAAAGTAAATTCATTTCTTCTCACATCTTAAAGCAAAGATACCTTTGTTTACATGCGAGAATAATAATTCTATAATAATAGCCCGGCCCTAGGAGCCAGGTCTTTATATTAGGACATAGTAATGAAACAGTGATATAGAGAGAGCCAGAGAGACCTACACACTGGCACTGAAACGAAATCCATTTGGAAGTTTTCTCTTGTGAAAGATACCTAAGATAGAGAAGAGGACTAAGGGGTGAAGTGACTCAAAAAGTGGGGTTCTGTTCGCTAGGGAAAAAACAAAGCCATTCTATTGCAAGAACAGATCAAAGGTTAAAAGGCAAATGATACTACATTTAGAGAATAAAAATGTAGTAATTCTCTGTCCTCCATATGGCGCATATGCAAGTGTGATAACGCAATTTGCACTGGCCACAGAAATAAACCTCATGGAAAAGCCACTGACTAAAAATGACTGAAAAACCCCCTTTTTCCCTTTTTTCAGTCTAATCGTTTGGCATCTCTGAATGTGGTACAGATTTAGTCTTGAACCACCAAAGAACATCACGCTGTCTTCTGTCAAGTGCTCAACAGTACCTCTCAGGAGGGCGTTGTTGCTAGCTAATTTTAAATCTGGTATGAGTAATACAGTCAGACCTAGTTAGTATTCGAGAAAGTTGTAGCGAACGCAGAGTGAGAGGATGTGATGTCACAGCATGAGCAGTCCCTGGTTGTCCCGTTGTCGGATAAACGTAGTGCATAGATCCAAGTTTCTATTCCAGGTCTCTGAAGCCCAGAGCCAGGCCTTTCACTTCTGCTGGGTGGCCTGGAAGGCCTTCAGCTCCACCTGGTACCACTCGGGGGCTTCAGGCCCACTCTTCCCCGGGGGGCTGTGGTCGTAGCCATAGGCAACAGTGAGTTCCTCGTCGGCCTCCACGGCTCGGAGCGTGCGAATGCATTTGATGGGTCCAAAACGGGGGTGGACAAACCTAGACATCAAGATGCACATGGTCATTCCCGGGCCAGACCGGGAGGTCAGATGTAAAGGCTAGAAGGGCTGAGGCAGGAATCACCCGTGTGCTTGCTGCGCCCTGGACACCACCGGCAGGTCCTCAGTGTGTGGGCCACAGAGGAGCCGGCATCAGCTTCCCCTGGGAGCCTGGTGCTCACGGGGATACACTGGGCTTCCCCACCCAGACCTGGTAGTGGAATCTGCATTCTAACACCCCACCACCCTCCCCCTCCCCGGTGATTCCTATGTACATTAAGGTTTAAAAAGCACGGCCCTATCTTCCTTTCTGAGCCTATTTGCCACTCTGTATTTGTAAATCAACAATCAGGATCTTCAACAAAAATCTGTCTTTAATGAGAAATCAGATCCAATGCGGCCTGTCAGCATTTCAGCTCCTCTGGCCTGTTGCATCAGATTACCTGGCTGTACCTCGGGGAAAGGCTTTGCCAGGGCACTTCTGGAGTTGTAAGAAAGAGCCCTGTGGATTTTCAAAAGCAAAAACCTCTGTTTTCCATCCTGTACCTATAGAGGAAGAGTTATTTTCTAGCATAAAAGTAAATGAAGGGCTTCCCTAGTGGCGCAGTGGTTGAGAGTCCGCCTGCCGATGCAGGGGACACGGGTTCGTGCCCCAGTCCGGGAAGATCCCACATGCCGCGGAGCGGCTGGGTCCGTGAGCCATGGCCGCTGAGCCTGCGCATCCGGAGCCTGTGCTCCGCAACGGGAGAGGCCACAACAGTGAGAGGCCCGTGTACCGCAAAAAAAAAAAAAAATGTAAATGAAGATTTTTTTCCCAAGAGGGAAGCCCAGACTGCTCTGCCATCCTGCTTCTTTCAGATTTCCCTCTGATGCACCCTGTGATGGGAGAGGCCGGGCTAAAGCTAGGATTATGCTCCTCTGCCAGAGGCTCCCAGCCTGGCTCACCTGCACAGCTCCCTGCAGGGGAACGGGAGCTAAATAAGTATTAAGAGACTCATCTCCTCTAACAGCTGCTGAAACCCAACACTGATACCTGGAAGGTAGGCCAGAAAGAAATTAACTTTGTTTTCCTATGCATCTGGTCAAATCCATTCATTTATAGTTACATTTTGAACAAAGGGCATTGAAACACCAAAGGAGGAGGTTCCAGGCCCCGAAGTCAGAGGTACATGGGGCTTGATGGCAAGTGCTTGGCGGGAGAGGAGTGTGTCTGCAGTGTATGGACATATTTTGTGGGGAGTAAAAAGGAACAAGCACACCCTCACTCCAAGGGGGCCTCTATGTCCACCCCCTTTGGCTGTCCTGTTTCTTGGAAAGCACACTTGATTTGGGCCTGAAGACTTTGGTGTGAGTCCTGGTGCCACACATTATTACTGCCTCCTTCTGGAAAGCTCAACTCTGTGTCTCTGAATCTCACTTTCCTCACCTGCCAAATCATGATAACACCAGTAATCCTTATCCTCCAAGAGTCATTGTGGTGACAAGATAGGGTCACATAAATAAAGCACCACACGCAGTGCCTGGCACAACTGAAGACTCGTATCAGTTGTGACATGCGTAAGCAAGCACGTGGGTATATGAGAGCACGCACGTGCACAAAAGTCTCAGACTGTGCTCCAGCACAGAGGACATCCCTGGATCAGGGATTTGGGAATTTCTTATTAAAATCACAACTCTTTGTCTCTAAATTAAAATATTTCATTAAAAAATAATACTCCTTACAATGGAATATTACTCGGCCATAAAAAAGAATGAAATCATGCCATTTGCAGCAACATGGATGGACCTAGAGATTGTCATACTAAGAGAAGTCGGTCAGACAAAGAAAAATATCATATGATACCACTTAACATGTGGAATCTTAAAAAAAATGATACAAATGAATTTATTTACAAAACAGAAACAGACTCGCAGACATAGAAAACAAACTTATGGTTACCAAAGGGGAATGC